GTGGATGACGTTTAATGATGATCATGATATTCACAAATGGGTGAATCTAGTTTGGGTCAGTTGCTTGGGAATTGAACTCTAACGATGAGATTTTTTGACATACAATAAACACCGAGACTATAACAGGTTATCCTTGGCAAGCTTAAGAAATGGAATCTGTATACCCAATATATATATATATATATATATATATATATATATATGTATAAAATAAAGCTGAGTTATTCTGCTAAAGCAATTGGTTATAGAGGAAACTCGAAAGCCCTGACTTTATGAATAGATTATATTCAAACCATGACATTGATTGGGTACTTGGCAATTTGATGTTTGTTCCACTGTGGTTATCAAGTCGAAGACTTTACGATGACATGAATCCTTAAGCTAGCCGAAAAAAGGAAATTATAAAATATATATGTACAATAAAGATGAATTCAGCTAGCCAAACAATAGCAAATTAAATTAAATTTACTAAATATGAAGTTTTAGTGACTATGGACTAAGGGTGTTGAGGAACAACTGTTATAGTTGAATTCACACGAGTACTCAGAAATCTCATTTTTAGACCGATATTTTTGCACTGCCTTGGCTAGAGGAGCCTACGAAGCTTGACCAAATAAAAGATTTTAGAGAACTAAAACAAAAGTGTCCTAAAGAGTTTAGCAATTGACTATGCTAGGTGCGTCATTTTACCCTCCTCTGATCAAAATGCCAACCCAAGAAAGAGAGGCATGCCATGATCTTCACGATGACCGAATCGATGAAACAAACCTTAGACTTTACATAGCTAACCTCAAAACCAACCTTTTGATCTTGATATTTGTCAAAGATTTGCAGCTATGAAAGATTAAAAGAGCAATTGATTCTTTTGATATCCAGTGAACTCCTGTTTTATGATTTGTTTCAATTGTGAAACTTAAAAGGAGATAACCTTTTTTTTTCAAAATTCCTTTTGATAAAATTTTGAAAAAAAAGAAAATATTTTCAAATAAGATAATCTCTTTGGAGGCATAGTTTGGAATTCAACGAATATCTCAGAAGCTCGTGATCGAAATTGGGGAAAAGGAAACCAATTTTTGGGGGCAAATTTTAATGGGGCAAGGAAAATAAATTGTCTCAGGTCGAGGTTTGCAAGAGTACACCCTAGTGGAAATGAAGACAAACTGAATTAGGGATAGAATGAAGACTACTCACACAACCATTCCCCTCACAAATCGAAAATAATACATCAACACATACATACATGATACATGAAATTTGCATCTTTGCATCAAACATTCATCATCATGTGCATTAAAGACATTTTTTCCTTTCTTAAGGACAAACTCAATAATTCATCAAATCAAACACATAAAATAAACTTCATCATGACACCCATTAACATCCAAGATAATCATCCATAAATACATCATCGATTTTTCAGGAAATAAAGGTTTGGAAATGACCAAATGTCTCTAGCTTGAATAAACAATGCCATGTAAAGATTCAACATCCTGAGACGAACGACCAGATCTTCTAAAGCCAGCTAGATCTCATCAACATGCAGGAACAAGCAAACTATCTATCTCCTTTGATGTTGTTTCTCTCGAAACAAAGTGTCTTCTCGCTAGAGACATTTTTTTTCTTAAAAATAAAAGTTGTCTCGCTTGAGACAAGTCCGCTCTAAAAACAAATTTTGTCTCACTTGAAACACTTTCTTTCAAACAATTTTTGTCTCGCTTGAGAAATTTTTCCTTTTAAATGCAAATTTCAAATTTGTTTTTCTTGAAACAAAGTTAATCTCACTTCAGAGTGTTTCTTTTAAAATAGATTCGTCTCGCTTGAGACAATCTTTCCTCAAAACACAAAATTTGGAAATTGTTTCACTTGAAACATAAAACTTCGAGTATGTTTCCTTGAAAACAAAATTTTGTCTCCCTTGAGACAGTTTCTTATGAAACACTAATCTTTGAGTATGTTTCTCTTGAATAAATCCCTAAAGTTGGCCAGTTGTCCTCATCGCGTAGGAACCGTGTCATCCACCGACCATATCTTCTCATCACGTAGGAGCCATGTCACTCTTAAACGACTAGAACTCTTCATCACGTATGAGCAGTATCGTCCCCAACAACAAACATATCAAATCTCAAACCAAAAAAAGAGAACCAGACAAAAAATGACTGTCTTTTTTATCTTTGCCCTATTCTTGTTAACACAAGATGTGCAAAGAGGGGCAGTTGTAGACACCTATTTTTGTCCGGGTCTAAAAACTTATTATTATTATTATTATTTCTAATTACAATTAATTTAAATTACAGGTCCTAAACCCGAGGCCCAACTAAGGCCAACCAAAAGCCCAGCAATAGTACAACCCAATTACAAGACCCAAGATCACCTGACCCGAACTGACCCAGATCAACCCAAAATAGATTAGGGTTTTAAAACCCTAATCCATCCACCACCACCATTAGCTCAAGCGTCCATCATCAGCACGTATGACACATGCGCCCAACGTTTCAGCTCCCCATTGGCGCGTGGACTCCACCGCTCGTTTCCCCCGTCGCATGAGCTGCCCCCGATTACTCTCGAGCCATTATCATCATCCACAGTGCACCAATAACCCCAAATCAATCAAAAAATCATTCAAAATCCAAAAACAATTTAAAAGTCAATAAATCCCATTTTTTTCGGTATTTTCACCAGCTCATACCAGAGAAATCATGCTTATGCTAGAGGTAATGATATCATCTAAACATGCATGAGAGATATAAGAGAGAAGAAGATAACATAAGATCATTCGCGGGGGAGGGGGGAGAAAAAAAGAAAAGAAAAACCAAAAACAAACACTTGAAAAACAAAGAAAAAATAATCAAGAAACTAAAAAGGATTTACCTTTTTGAGCAGCCATCGTCATGGACTTCGTCGAGATAGACAAGCCACCATCCAGAAGGTAAAACTCCTTTTTCTTTTTGGAAAAAAGGGTGTTTCGTGAGTTTTTTCGGGCTTCATGTGGAGAGATTGAGCGGTCTTTGGGGTTTTTAGGATAGATGAGTAAAAAAAGGGTTTGTTTTGGCCTTTTAGCTGTTGTCAAACCATCAACTTATGGTGGCCGGACGGTTTGTTGGGTCCTCGCTCTCCGGAGGAAGGGAGGAAAGTTGGGGAAAGGAATATAAATTTTGAGAGCTTTTTTTGCTCTCTTAGTTTGAGGAGGGAGAGTGTAAAATAACAAATGGGAAGGGTTGGTTAATTTTCGATCCTGTTTTGGTTTTAAATATAGGGCGAAACATCTCCGTTTTGCTAAGGGGAGTAGTTGTGTGTTTTTAGAAAGGGTATACTAGCAGTTTTGGTCCTTCACTCTTTGTAATCTTTTCCCTGTGTTTTTCAAATTTTTTGGGCAAATTATAGTTTCAATCCTCCTTTGTTTGTAATATATTATTTTATTCATTAATGAAACTTTGTTTTTCTTTGATTTTGGGCTCTCTATTTGACTTACATTTTATTATTATCCTTATTATGTAAAGAACATATTTACGCGTATATTCTTGATTTAGCCCATGTATTTTAATTTGTTTATGTTTGGGTATTACATGTTTGTTTTAATGCGTTCTAGTCATGTTTTATTGGTTGTAGTATCTTGGTTAAATTGATGTTGGGGGCATGATATTTTATTTCTTTTCATTTTAGTCATACATGTTGACTTGGGTTTTATTTCTAGTTTAGTCCTTTCTGTTTTGACCACATTAAGTTTTAATTCTGGTAATAATTACATAATAGGGTCTGCAATTTTTATTTCATTATGTTTTAATCCTTAATGCTGCTATATGTGAAATTTGATTTTTTTTTGTTATTGGCTCTCATATTTTTTATGTTTTATATTTTGATCCTTTATTTATGTGCACATTGGTATTATTGCTTCTACCTTATTTTTATATTTCATTTTGTTTTCTAAAATGTGTAAATAGAAAATTTAATTGTGAGAGAAATCTACGAAGACATCTCCCAACTACAAGGGAATGTGTCTTTACGAGGATTTTTCGCATAAATGTTTGTGTTGTATTCGATAATTTTCTTTATTCCACGTTTATTTATTTTGATTATTTTCACCTCTTTTCACTTTTATTTTGTTTTATTTTATTTTATCTTTGAGAAAAATTACGAAATAACATCTTTTGTGAGGGGAATCTATGAAAAAATCTCCTAACTACAAAGGAAGTGCATTTTCAAGGATTGTTCGTACAAAATGAGGTATTTTCTCTTATAAAAATAATTATAATATATTTTATTCTACAAAAATATTTTTTGGTTCATTTAATCTTTTTGATCCATTGCTTTCCTTATTTTAAGTTTTTTTTTAAATTGACACTTATTTAAATAAATAGAATGCTCATAATTTAAATATATTTTCAAAGTTTGTAATTCTCAATAATTAAACAACATATAATAGTTTAGGTACCACAATTTTGGGCGTTGTGGGGGTGCTCTCCATTCCCACACGTAATCGACTGCCCAACTCTTAAAAATGTATCTTTGGTAAAACACATACCATTTTTTTTCGTTTAAGGTTTTCAACCTACCTAACTTAAAGGTTGGTGGCGACTCCAAAATTGAATTGTTTTCGAAATTGAATTTCATCGCCTTCCCCGAATCCCAATTTTTCAAGTCTAACGGATCCTCGAGGGAGACGTTATGACACTCTCTATGATCTTCTTATTCTATTTTTTTCCTTCCGCGTTTTATTTCTGCTGCTAAAATTTTATTACTTGATTCTGGTATGGGCTTCCCAATTCCTTTACATGTTTTAGGGTTGGCGAGCCTTATCAGAACCAACCAAAGCGACAACACAGATGAAATTTTCTATATCCTGTAACAAACTATAGATAGAACAAAATAACAGGCAATATAACTACGAAATTTAATATAAGTCACTATTGTAGTATAAAGCATGCCAATGCTATCTAGAATTTTAATCTTTACCATATGTTAGTACATTAGAAAAATATAAAGTATAAACTTGAGAAACGCACTTGAAGTCTAGTCTTCACAGCCCAAAGAGGATTTGTAAAACAGGTTGTAGCAGCTCCAGCACCAGAAGCAGCTAGCATGTTAGCGCCTACTGAGAGATGTTGCTTCTGATCTACACATGCACACAAAAGGAGAAATATGCCAGAAGCTATAAAGAAAATATTCAGGAAGGTAGTATATAAAAGAAAATCTAATAGGAACAAAAAAGGGTCTAAAATTAAGAGTGAAATTGCAAATCCTATGCACTTGGAACTGACCATTAAAACAAAGATAGTTTTTGAGCTGCTCATACACTGTAAAATATACCTGCAACATCAATTCAAGCAAGCACCAAAAAGTGTGAAAAAGAGAACAAGAAAATACCGAAACTCAACAAACAAGACATGTGTTTCACACTTGTATCAAAAGGAATACTTTAATACATAACAAAAAAAAGCATCCATGGAAATTTAAACAAGTAGCTAGGTTTCCTGTATGTATTACATTAAACCATAAAATCCTAAAAAACCAAATTTGAACCTCTCCAGAAAAGTCTTCTGCATAGTTGGGAACTTGGGATTGGAACCGCAAGTACTAACACATATGCAATAATATCGCCTGGTGGATGAAAACTATGAATGGAGAAGGAATCCATGATTTTTTATTTTGTAACTCAACCTTTTGATTGGATACTGTCATGATGGAAGAGGAATTAGGGTTGGAAAAAGGGGAAATTGAGAGGAATTTATCTTAATTAGGGATTTTGAACGGGGAAGCATTGAGAAATGAGAGGTCTGGGGAGAAAAGAGAGATAATTACCATTGGGGCCAGAGTTGAAGAGGATCTTGGGTCTGCTGAGGAGAAACACGGGTCTGGTTAATGGTGGGCCTCTGGGTGTAATATGCTGAGATGCCCAATATGATACACCTGCATGAGTCAGCAATAAATTAGTTATTTTGTTAGATTTCCAGTATGCTAGCTGTGGTACTTGTAATTATATAAAACGGTACTTGATTCCTTTTGGAATCATCTCTTATGAATGAATCAAATCATTTTCTCCTAAATTCCTTTCTATTCTTTTCTGAAACCTAAATTCTTCATCATAATTCATAACAATTGGTAACCACAGCCTATTTTTGATCCAACTCAAGATGGGTAAGCAGAAAACAACATGGTGGAAAATAAACCTCCAGAAATTCAAGAAACGAGCAGTTGAGAACCATCCAAGACTGCAATGAAATGGTAGGAAGAACAGAAAACTATTTGGGAAAAAAGACTCAGCCAATTGGAAGCCAGATCAGAAGAAACCAGATGGTTCTGAGTGATTCCTGAGTGTCATTCTTGTTTTTCTAGGTTGTAGTATTAAAAATATTCATGTAGTATCGATATTGTTCACAGAGTGTAACCCCCTCAGACCGATGCGGGTAACCTGATCCGATCTGGAGTGTCACATTAGGGCCATCGGAGCGACCCATTGTAAAAATAGTGGAAAATTTAAAACTTTTATTAAAAAATGTAACTTATAAAATCATTTATCAATATTCAGAAATAAAATAGATTTTCTGTCTCGTATTTAAAATAAAATACAATTACATGCTCCCTAATCACATGTACCATACTCTGCAACAACGTCGAAAGAACTCCTTTACTGAAGTCGATAGATGCACTGGTTTAATTCTTCTAACCTGCAACGGTGAGTAATAGAGTGAGCTTCGAAAAAGCTTAGTAATACAGAACTACCAGATGATGCTGAAGAACGTGCAGATACCGATAAACATATATTTCCTTATTAGTTTAGACATCTACAGATCTTTATAGTGAGCAGAGATCTTACGGATATTTCAGGAAGTAACAAATAATAAGCGTTTAGTTCAGGGAAATATATTTCAAATGTTTAGGTTCAGGAGATCAGAATAGGTTATCTAGTGTGTTCCCGTAAAACTAGTGAAAAGATACATATCTTTTAAAACAGTAGCAGTTTAAAACATATTTACCCTGTGCACAAAGTAGAGGAGCATGCAAAAACGATAAGGTCTTATACTTGCACATAGCAAAAGAGCCTGGGGAAACTGTAAGGCTTACCCTTGCACACATTACCCTTGCACACAACAAAGGGACCTGGGGGAACTGTAAGGCTTACCCTTGCACACAGCAAAGGAACCTAGGGGAACTGTAAGGCTTACCCTTGCACACAGCAAAGGGACCTGGGGGAACTGTAAGGCTTACCCTTGCACACAACAAAGGGACCTGGGGGAACTGTAAGGCTTACCCTTGCACACAACAAAAGGACCTGGGGGAACTGTAAGGCTTACCCTTGCACACAGCAAAGGGACCTGGGGGAACTATAAGGCTTACCCTTGTACACAGCAAAGGGACCTGGGAGAACTGTAACGATAATTAATCCATATTTAGAAATCGTGTACAAAAATACTGTAACCAGAAACCATATCAAAATATATGGTAAATCAGATATCAAAATAAACTGTATTCAGAACATCGGGTATTGTCTCATAAAAATATTCAGTATGTGATTTATCAAGATCATATTTTCCAATGAAAATAGAAAACCCGATAACATATTTCAAGTAAACATAGTTCATAAAACCAGTAGATTCCATGATGTCATAAATAAGGAATAATTCATATTTTTCGGTAAAACCCGTAATCGGAAAACATATAACATGTTGTCATGGTTCATAAACCAGTAAATCAATAGTTTCGGTGAAACTCATTTAAAAATATATAAAATCGTCATGTGGTACATGTGGAACACACTAGGATATCCAAGTATTTCTCAGAGACACTTAGTAGTTATCAGAATGAATAACATGAAACTGATGTAATTTGATCAGATTCTAAAAATGAGGTCCTATTGAAGGGAATCGATTGCTAACCAATCTAATCCGACATTTAAGGTTGATACTTTAGAATTCTGATATGATTCATGTGCATCAGGAAAGTGTTCAGAAATCTGTATACAAAATATGTCGTTTGATCTGATTATCGAACAACTCTTAGATGAATAGTTCCTAGAACTAATGCTTATCGATTGGTCAATTCATTGTTCTTCCAGGATATTTACTCTTTAATACCATTATTTCTAGTCCATATATCATCTTCGGAATCATCGCTAAATAAATCTTCCAATGTCTTTATTTCATGTTCACGCTTTCACTATATCATGAAATACTAACGTGCTTGATTTGTAATTCATGATCCATAAGAACATTACATCATGTATGTTCATTAACATTTCCAGATTCATCCAAATCACTTATTTAATCCTCATTCATTGAGGTTACTTGATTTATTTAGCATTCAAGTCCATTCCAGTTACTTCGGGATTTTCCAAAGTAATTCAAATGTTCTTGAATTTCAGATAAATGTTGTACTTCCGTTCCACTCAATCTGGTCTTCGTGGTTGATTTGTCGAACAAACGTCCAATTCTTAGTACTGAATGCGATCTAGAGTTGAGCTGAGCTGAATACTTCCAAAATTTATCATAGAGCCAAACTTGAGAAGATGAACACACATTCCAGTAATATCTATGCCATTCAGGTATTGACATAGCTTTAGGGTTGATTGGCTCACTTAAGTTGTGTTCTATAACTTTTAAAGGTAGTCCCACACTTATGCTTATTTGGATTCCTTAATTAATCCAAGACATTTACTTAGTATATGCTATAAGGATATTTTGGTAATTTTGGAGTTCAGTTTTATTCCATTCATTTCAGAGCTCGAGGATATCCAATCATTCCTGAGCTTGGTGATATTCTTGGATCATTTTCATTACAGGGGTATTTTGGTCATTCTACAGATTCAGTGTATTCTAATCATTTTCTTCCGTCCGATCTTACTATTAAATTCAATCTTATAATTTATTTCAGTTCTTTCGAACAATTCTGACAGTAGAATACCCCCCGATAAATTATTCTTCAGGTATTTACTCATTACTTGAATATTTTCGGCTCAAGTTCCTTCTCAGATTTTACAAACGGAATATCATGAATTTTTCTGCACTAAGTCAGAATCTTAACAAACAATTTCGTACTTAATCAAGTTAAGTACAAATCTTCAAAGTACTTTCTCATTCAAGGTTAACTCAGACTATTTTACCTCTCAAGGGCATTTCCGTAATTTCTTAGCCAGATAATTTCAATATTAACTCTTAACAAAAATAATATAATTTAGAGATTCTATGATTAATTGCTTTCTTGAACATTCTCTGATCTTGAAATGATTCTCTTAACAGACTTATAGTATCATTAACAAACCCTCATAGGATTAAAAACCGGTTATCCATAATTTCCAAGTAAAACTAACATTTCTTATGCACATCAATATTTATATCGGATCAACATGTCTTTTTAGAGTTATTAACCAACTTCCAGGGACAATTCTTGTCATCCTACAACATAAGCGTATTTTTGTAATTTTACCCTACCGAAATATTCTCATAATTTCCCATCCAAGTACCTTTAACATTTAACCTTTGATGATATAAAATATAAGTTACAAATCTATGGTTGATTTCTTTATCACTAATCACAAATTTGTAATTTAATTCTAACAATTCCTAAATCTCTTATATTAGTCATTCGATTCGTATTCAATTACAGAATTTATACCACATTCATATCGAGTTTATAAATTATTCAACTTCACAAAAGTTACCAACATTATCTTATTCATGCATTTATCAATATCAACATATTCTATAAAGCATAAAGAGGTAGTAAAGTATTACCTCGATTTTCGTGTAATACTGATCGACCATATAAAATTCCATTCGAACGCCATCGATCTTGAAATCATCTTCCAATAATTCCTCAAATACATATCAACATAAATTATATAAAAACGGAGCTTAATTGCGATAAACGAATCGAATCGGGTGATAAATCAGTCAAAAACAACTTATCGGGTTCGAGTTTGGCGAAACAGACCCCAAAAGCAGATTCGAGACGTCGAAAACATAAAATATGACTTTTCAAAAATTTGGAATTTTCGGTCAAAATCAAAGTCAACGGGGTTGACTGGAAATTTCAAGGCCTTTGGGTCTGAATTTTGAAAAACGGACTGCGGAATCAGATTCAGAACGTCGAAAAACGTCAGGATAGGTATACTCGGTCAAAGTCAAAGGTCGTTTAATGCTCGGTCAACGCCGGTCAAAGTTCTAGTCAACTGTGGTCAATGCCGGTCAACGGTCAACAGTCGACCATTTTAAACAAATATCACCCTATCAAAAATTAATTACAAAATTAGTCATCTTCTATAAATATTTACGAAACTAACACCTGAATTTTACACAAATAGCACCCAAATAGAAATTAATTACAAAATTATCATCCAGACGATGCCCACTCTCGAGGGTAGTGCAT